CCACTAGACTACTGAGCTTGCGCTTAGTGACTAGTGTTAAATACAATATGGTGAAATTTATGTGATAATACCAATTATTAAAATATTTTTTATAATTTATTATCTTTTATCAAAATTTTCAAGCACATTAAAAAAATTCCCTACCTCTGGTACACCACCAAGAAAAGCTTTAATAGCCTCCTGAGTCCAGAATGTTCCTTTAGTGAATAACCAAGCCTGCATCAGCCAGACTCCTTTGGGATCAGCGGATACTATGGCATCATATACACCACGGCTAGCCGCGGAAAGGTAGTTCGGGTCACTGAAAATATAAATATAAATTTTAAAAACAAATTCTCATAATCTCAAAAGCTCCAATGAGGGCAGTATAATAGAGGAATAGTCTGTTGGCCCTAACAGCCGCCTATACAAAAAAGATCTATCAAATCAAACAATCAACCGAGTATTCCTATAGCGCCTTCAAAATGACGTAATAACTATAGCTCGTAGGTCTAGAGGCATGAATGTAGCTTAGGATGTGAGAGGTACCTGGTTCAATTTCTGAAAGATCCCATTACTTTTTGTTTCTCTAAAAATGAAAAAAATTCTAATAATCAATAAGCAAAAACAGATCTATCAGTCAGTCAAGTATTACTTGAGCTCCTTCAAAATTACATAGGAACTAGGGCTCTTGTTCTGAATGTAGCTTAGGGTGTGAGACACACTAACTATGGCTTGTTGGTCTAGAGACATGAATGTAGGTTAGAATGCGAGATGTCCCTGGTTCAATTCCCATTTTTTTTTTCATTAAAAATTAAAAAAGCACACAATAAGCAGGGTATTCCTAGAACTCCTCACTGGAAGCCAAACAAGAGAGAAGTATTAGAAACACATTGTTCATGTTTTTTAAGCACACTATATAGTTCAAATATAAAAAAAAAAATTCCTCCATCAAGCTTCTTTTTTTTTTAGCTAACAGGAAAAAGGAGAGGAATATCAAGATTAACAGTACTATTAATAGAGTATTATTAATCTATTCCATTCTATTTCAGGATTGCAATGTAAAAAGTCAGGAAGCAAAACAGGAAGTGAGCATGGATGAAGTTTTGTATTAATTGGCCTTACAGTATATTATTGCAAGTGGAGATAAATAGCTTCGCTAGGATGCTTGTCTTCAAATCCCCAGGGTCCTGTGTTGAATTCCTGTCAGGTAAAACATGACTTCTTCTCATGAACAAAAAGCAATTCCACTAACTAAGCCTCGTAAGAACAATCAATAAATTAAATGAAGTTTTACCTTGATGATGGGGTCATTTCATTGAACAAGTCTCCATTGTATACGTGATCTGTTCCATTGTATTCATCTATCATCTTCAACAAAACATGAATTTAAGAATGTGAGTACAAAAGCCAAATGAATGTAATGATGTTGCAATGCTGTGAAAATAGAGAAATATATATGAGAATAGTGCATTATAATCACTGTATAAAACGAACGCTGTTGTACCACTATCACCACCGCGACAATCATCTCGCCGTTACAGGCATAACACTGTTACAGGTGTAACAGCTGGCAGCTCTCACTGGCTGAAGCCATGGGAACCAGACCTGTGGTCCAACCCCGTTGGACAGGCCTATACCCCCTGTCATCCACGCACGATAAAGTCATCGGATAAAAAATTTAAAAAAAATAATTTTGCCAATCCAAATAACGTTATTTTGACTGCCAATCCCTAATATTATGGTCTAAAAGCATATTATTGACAATACTAAGCCATAAAAACTCTCCCTGTAAACCATGCCCGGGCCGTCGACCGACATTTCTTCAGCCCCTTGGCTAGGGCCCCTCCCGCGGACATATCAGAACACCTTGCCAGCAAATTTCACGCACCACCGCTGACCCAGACTTTAAAGGGCCCTGGGATATTCATCAGCATTTTTTCCAAATTGGTTGAGCATAGCCTGTTTAAGGAGCAGAATTTGTTAAAAAATACATTGAAATAATAAATCAAACATTTAAAATTGCCAATGAGGGTGGGGTTTTCTGCATACCCTGCCCTATACAGACCCAGCCTTCGGGGGTAGTAATTCCAGGGGAAGCCATAGCCAAGGGCCTCTGGTCTCCTTTTTGCGCCACTGCCTAACACCATGATTTTCATAATAACATTTATTACTATTACTCATGAAAAAAAAAAACCACTTACTGCTTCAACAAACGCAGTGCCAATCTTCTTAAACAGCGGGTCTTGCGAATCTAATAGATAGGTACTTGTACAATATGAACAAGGTAGGATTAAATAAAACAAGTATTTTTTTCATTTCATAGAGACTGATCAAGTCTGCATAGTTAGGCATTTGACACCATCACAAAAAACAAAGAAAATATCCAATTCATAGTCTAAACTGTGCAGCCTACATAATTTCAAAACACATAAAAGAAACAAATCAAAAGGAGTAGGGCCTACCAGTCATAACATTATAAAGAGATGCATCACTAATACAAAATTTGTTAAGACTGCAATGCAGCGTTAATGCGAGAACAATGCTTAATATGCGCTACTGAGTATTAAAATGCTTTCATGTACAGTAAGTAAGCTTACTATCAATTTGTAACTTTAGTATTATTAATCTTGAACTAAATCGGTTGTGTTATAGTTCTCCAGGATACAAATTATCAAGAAATGTAATCTTGATTAAGCACAATAATATTTACTCAAAATTGAATACTGTTCATGTCTAATACACACCGCAGCTGTGCTTATTCTTTACTATATTTTATCTAAATGGAACATTTTTTTACATACATATAAAACTTTAATGATCAAAAAATTGCACTCACTGCTATTTCCATACAAAATTGAATCTGAATCCAAAATTTTAAAAGTATTGCTAACTTTAGAAAGGTCCTAATTAGATCCATATTCAGTTAAACTTATTTTTTTTTAATGGTACAACCCTTTTGGTAAAACATTTTTTTTAATGATATTAATATGTAAAATAAATATAATGATTTTTTAAAGTTTGAATAATAAGAGATTTAGAAGAATGGAATGTAGTGTGTAGTGTTGTGTATAAAAATAACAGAGAACTCACCAACAATAAGGGTCAGAAAAATGACCCCAGTTTCTAAGCCTTGTGACAGAAGCATTTGGAAACAATCTGGAAAGAATTATATTCAATGAAAAAAAAAATTGTAGCGACAGCATCCAGTAAAGTTCTGTCTAACCTATAACATTTTCGGCAACAAATAAAAAAATTCATTTTGCACGCACATGGGAAACATAATAGTATGGACAAACATTAAAGTTATTAAACCAATCTTCTGCACAAACTACTTTACTCAGTGGATGAGACATGGTATAGAGTAAAGGTTTCATCCGTGGTTACATTACTTTAAAAACAAAACAAGTCATTTACGAACATTCTGTTGGAAGTATAACTAACCGTGTAATTGCATTTGGCACATGTCCAGCAAACGCAGGCAACACTGGGATCATTCCAAGTGAACGCATTCGATTCAGGATGCGATGTTGAAGGTCCAGTTGATAATAATGCCACTGGGATGGCAGCGGACCACCCCAACCATTTATGTTGCCCATTCTAGTCCTGTAAGTGTAATAACATTGCAAGAATATGTTACAATGTAATAACATTGTAACATATTAATGTTTATTTTAATATTTATTCATCAGACTGGCACCCTGATATGAAAAACGTTTTTTCTTATACACAGTGATTTGGAACTTCAATGGGTAACTGATTCCAAAGATGAAAAAAAAAGCAATGCTGACTATGTGCTTTAAATTCATTTTTAAGTACAGGAACTTGCAGGTGTTTATCAGTGGAATGGAGTGCAGGGGATATAAAACAGGCAGCGGTGGCACCAGAAATTTGCAGACAAGGGGTTCATATTTTGCTGCAAATGATGATACCCATTGGTGAGAAAACTGATAATGAAGTAATAAAAACATACAAACATTATGAATTTGCAGTTTGATCATTGCTTGCCTGCAGGTGTGCGAGAGGCCATTCAGATTTCCGGAATACTCCCACGACTCCCAGGAGACTTGGGACCCTTGGGTTGCTTACATGAGAGCGAATTATTCTTCATTTTAAACTTTAATCATAGTCATTGAAACATTTCGGTACAAAGTGTCCAAATACATTATTATTTACCATGCCAAAAAGGCTGGCCCACCAAAATGCACATCTAGGTCTTGTTGTGTGAAGCCTAACTTTAAGTACACTTTTTCCCAGATGCTTTCTTGTGCTGTGAAAGCCAATGGTAAGTTGATACCATTCAGGGCCATCCAATCTATGTGCTTTTCCCATCTTGTCCAATTCCAGAATGCAAATGAATAGCTGACGGTACAAACATTCTGGTAATAACGTACCCTACGGTTAAAAATAGAAACGGTATAAATGTTCAGTGAAAGACAATTAGCATAGTACATGACAACGATTCAAAGACAATGTGCATGCTAATGAAAATACTGGCTTAAGCTGGACACTCACTGTGTCATAGGACAGCGCAGGTATTACGGCCCTGAGAGCGCAAGAGGATGCAACACCATCTGCTAATTGTTGGTGGCTGTCTTAACGCACTGTCATTAACAATGATCCATTGTGCACACACTTAGAGTTCCAATTAAATAGCGTCGGCCAAAAAACCATTAGAAAACCAAACCATTCGTGCTGCGCCAAACCGCTTCTATAATTCATGCAAGTCTGTAGACTTATTTCCAGTGGAACCCTTCAAGTGGTGAATGCAGCGATACAGTCCTCTGCTCTTTTCTGAAAAGTGTACTACATTTTATAACTTGCACATAGTCAGCTTTTTGATTATTAAAGCTAAATTTTATGATTTGATTTTTTATACTTTTGGATATGTAAGTATAAATGGTTAAACGTATTGCTGTAATTACCGTAAATGCTCAAATAAGCGTTGAAGTGCTTATACCACTTTTATAGGCTTCGGTGCAGCGCTTATTCGAGAGCGGCGCTTATAAAAAAATGTTGCCGTGGCGCTCCATGTGCCTGTTCCCATGTCATTTTGAAACTGTATACATTGTATTTAAAACCCTTTCTCAAAAATGTTTCATTACACACAGCGTAATATACTCTCAATTATGCACCGCAGCACTTATTAGAGACCGGCGCTTAACGAGAAAAAACAGGTCTGGTGTGGCGATTAGTCGAGGGCGGAGCTTATTTGAGCATTTATGGTAATTCCAAAACAGTTTCACATACTTATTAGGGCTCGTTATGAAGACTTCTGGATCTACCACTGGAAAAGAAGTGGGCAAGTTCAGTTGCCTGCCCTGCCATGAAATGTGGCAATCACAATAATGTTTCAAATAATGATGGAATCCCCAGACTACAGCAACACCGGATGTCCCTGTGATATGAACAGTTTTACCATCAGAGGAAAACTGAAAAAAAAAAAAAAAGATGATGAATTTAATCACAATGAAAAGAACATTAATACATAAGCTTCAAGTAATGGGTATACACTATGTTTAAATTTACAGACTGCCAGAATTGTAATATCAATTGCAGAATTCAATAGTTGCCTAGTCTTATGGCAAGTTTGTATTATGATGATGTAAATCTTATTTACGGAGTCTGACTCTCAAATTGTAATTGTATGTATATTTTATAAATTTTATTCTGGTACAGTGTGCAGTAATCACAAAATAAATCTTCTTAAAAAATGTGCCTAAAAACTAAGGTGACATCCCGGAACTTTCAGAAATTGCTGGCAAAACTGAATTTTCTTTTCAAATTCAGTAAATATTCAATAATGTTATCTCAATTAATAATACAGTATTGTAATTATAATATTTACTTATCTACATATAAATCCTTTCCTAACATTATTGACTCTACCGAATGGGACAGAAAATAAATTAACTCATTTCAGACAATGTTCAGGAATACATATACTAAAAGCAGTGGCAAGGTCACAAATAAAACTTATTCCAAGTATTTTCGAATTGATTACTGTACTTCCACTTGGGTACTCTGTAGGGTCCAAACGTCTAGGCGTACAGCAAAGGAACTGTACAGTGTAAGTGTACAGTATGTGCTTGAGAAAAACATCAAAGTAAAACCTAAGAAAGTCGGAAAATCCATGTGGTGCGAGTAAAACTGGCCCGGCCTGTGTTTACATAGGAAGGGCTGCATTGAAAGATGTATGCTGTCACTGATTCATTACAGACCATTTCTCGGTAGCCACACATCAAGTCCTGTGCTTGTCTTACCCAAATATCAATTCTTAATTTAAAAATTAACAAATGTCAACGTCCTACAAATACTATTAGTATTCAATATCAGGGGCGGATTTAGGGGGGGGGGGCCGGCCCCGGCTCCCCTTTTGGGAGGTAAAAAAAAGGGAAAAAAGAAAAAAAAGAGAGAAAAAGAAAAAAATTATAGCCCAGAATGCCTCAAATGTTATGTTCGGGCGTCTAGAACACAAAAATTACGCGGGGGCTGGCCCAACTTTCGGCCCCCCCATTTTGGACATTTCTGGATCCGCCCCTGAATATGGAGCACTGTACACAAAACACTGGCTATTGGTGTATATTATTTTGATGTCTGTGTGATTTAGTCTGTAAAGAACTGTACTAAAATTGCTATATATTTTTAAAGTAGAGTAGTAGAAAATTTTCATTTTTTAGTCTGCCACAACCAGGTCTTTGATGTCAAATAGAAGCGGTTGGCGCATCGGTTGTGGCTTGGACTCCCAACCTCGAGGTCGGGGGTTCGAAGCTCTCGCTGTGCAAATCGCTTGTGTGTTTGATCCAATGACCGGGGTAGTAATGTGAAGCGCTTAGAGGCATTGTGCATGAAGCGCTATATACAGTAAGAACGACATATTATTATTATTATTAATAGAAAGACCGGCACTGAAAAGGGGTCCCAAGATGGAAGAATCTACATCTGGGAGATCTGTTTAAATGAGTTTTCTTTTTTCACATGTAAAAATACTTTGATGTGCATGGTGACCATTATAATTGCACTAACTTTTGGGGGACAACTGATAATACTATAGTAAAAACTTGTAAAAGCATGCAAATATCATCATGAATTTGTGGGAGACGGTTTATTTCGCAAGATTCTTGCTTGCTTGCGGAGTGCCGGAGACCTTCCCACCAATTTTCAGGAGACTTCATTCCGGGACTCTGCAGGAAACTTTGGACTCCTGGGCAATAAATGTGGTTGTTAGATGAATTAAAAAATAATACAACTGGATGTAACAGTTACTGCATGCTGTTTTTTTATTATTAAAACATTTCTTGATAGCCGTACCAGATATCAACTTGTCTTTCCATTAAAATATTACTAACATTGCCACTAATAACATTATTATTATTATTATTATTATTATTATTATTATTATTATTATTATTATGTGCAACATCTGTTATGTATTTTGGGATTTAGAAAAGAATGTTATAAAAAATATATGCATTTCTTTACTTGATGGGCGATTGATGCTAGGAACAATTGTAAATCAAATTTCATTCTTGATGAATGTGTGTTGAGTGCTTGTAGCATGCATTGCGCACATATTCTTTTCAGTTGTCTAAAGTTCGAAGAAGAAAATTTTGGGGATGGTTAAATGAGATTTTTTGCACTGGGTTTGATGTGGGATATGCACAAAATTTCATGATGATGATGAGATTATGACAGATTCAGTTGTTTAGTATGTATTACACGAAGTTTTAATTTAATTTTTCCTATTATTAAAATTTTAAATAATTATAATTTATGACTAAATATATTTGACCAGATCTAATTTTAAAAGTGTCATCCTTGAGTATTTCATAAAGGTACAACACACTAAAAGTGTTGTGGCCATCATTTTTATTTATCATTATTGTTGGTCAGTACCTTGTATGAGGTAAGTTCTGCTGGGCCGATGTCAGAATCGACAGACACCTTGAACTGCAATGCTCGATCTGGTGGAAGAATTCTTGAAATGACATCGGAAGCAGCCTGAGCTTGGACATCAGGAAGGGTTTTACTTCGAAGATTCAATTTTGGAAAGAGATCTTGTGAAAAAAAAAACACTGCACATTAAATTTACGGTATGTGTCTATAAATTGTGATAGATATCTTTTAGGTCTGCTTTGGAGCATGTGTGTCAGTACTGTCTATGTCCCCATGATCATGAATTGTTATTGTGGCTGCCCACTTACATGTTCTTAAGTCTGGTTATCACCAGAGCCTTAGTATCCGGATCGGGAGCTAACCATTAGCACCTGCGTGAGAATGCCCGATCGGTTAGCACTAACCGTTAGCAGGCGCTATCGGTTACCAAGTTGAGCGCATTTCTATCATCAACCAATCACACGTATGTGTTTACAATTTCCAGTTTCTTATTGGCCAGTGATCATCATATTTTTCACAGCAGCTAACGATTAGCAGGATCCAGATCGGCAGCTGTGTGAGAACATAGCCAGTAGCACCTACACTTTACATAGAAATATGTATCTGTTTCAATGTCAATGCATTGATTAGTAGTGGAATTACATACTATATATATTTTTTTCAAATTTAAGTCACATATCCTTGATGCATTTTCAGGCAAGGTCTCAAAATCTATTTTAAAATTATTCAGTCACTATGTGTACACTAATATGTTTTTTTAGGGCCCAAAAATAAACATAACATTCACGTTGCCATCAACTTGGACTCTGATTTGAATGTGTAGGCCTTATTAAACATCTACAATTCCAGCGTCCCTTTCATTCCCCTCATCCCCAACAAACATTTTCTGAAACAAAAATATCACTCTACTCTCGTCACAAATCATTAACATTTTAACCATTGCAATGTACTGTACTCAACTTACCCTTTTCTTCCTGGTGTGATTGCACTAGGATGATCAAAATACAGAAAAATGTCAAATTATGCAGCAACATTCCAAATATTTCCTTTTCCTTGTACTGAAATGACTTTAACTGTCAAAAATACTGTATAATACATAAATCAATAGAAAAATTAATAGCTATTAACAGGGTCCCAGTCTCCTGTAAGTTCCAGGGTGCACGCTGGTTTCTTCCTGAAAGAGGGGGGGGGGGGTTGGGTACAAATATATTGATAAAGCAAAACTGGAAGGTACAAAAATTGAGAAAGTGGAACTAAATCCCTATTCCAATGAAAACTTAATGGTCATTCTTAGTATTTTGAATCACTTACTTAATAGAATATATCCTCCACGCAAAAACTATTACAGAAAATTGCTTTGACCTAATCTTGATAGCCAATGTATGCAGTTATACTGCAGTGTACTACAGTACTTATAATGAAAGCCGAGACAAAATAAAAAAAATTCCAGGGCAATTATATTAAGCCAAGATATATGAAAGATACAAATAACTGCAATGTGTACACCTCAGTCAAATGTAGGTTGGAAAAAGGATATCAATCAGAATGCGTTTTCCATGCACGAGGCTTGCCATCCCATAATCAGCGTTCTGTCGCTAAATGATATTAAACTGAGTAATATAAGAATGTGGTAGAACTGTATTATTTAGACATGAAGAAAATACTTTTACTCATAACTGTGGCAAATTGTACGTTGATTCAAATAAATGACCAATCATTTTATAGCTTATAGCCTGGTTCTCACGAGAGCCTTAGTATCCGGATCGGGAGCTAACCATTAGCGCTAACCGTTAGCACCTGCGTGAGAACGCCCGATCGGTTAGCACTAACCGTTAGCGGTATACGGATACCGCTAACGGTTAGCAAGCGCTATCAGTAAAGCAAGTTGAGCGCATTTCTATCATCAACCAATCACACGTATGTGTTTACAATTTCCAGTTTCTTATTGGCCAGTGATTCGATCATCATATTTTTGATATCCCGATCGGGATTTTCTTGTATGGACGCACAGCAGCTAACGATTAGCAGGATCCAGATCCGCAGCCGTGTGAGAACATAGCCAGTAGCACCTACACTTTACATAGAAATATGTATCTGCTTCACTGTCAATGCATTGATTAGTAGTGGAATTACATACTATATATATTTTTTTCAAATTTAACTCATATATCCTTGATGCATTTTCAGGCAAGGTCTCAAAATCTATTTAAAAAATATTCAGTCACTATGTGTACACTAATATGTTTTTTTAGGGCCCAAAAATAAACATAACATTCACGATGCCATCAACTTGGACTCTGATTTGAATGTGTAGGCCTTATTAAACATCTACAATTCCAGCGTCCCTTTCATTCCCCTCATCCCCAACAAACATTTTCTGAAACAAAAATATCACTCTACTCTCGTCACAAATCATTAACATTTTAACCATTGCAAGGTACTGTACTCAACTTACCCTTTTCTTCCTGGTGTGATTGCACTAGGATGATCAAAATACAGAAAAATGTCAAATTATGCAGCAACATTCCAAATATTTCCTTTTCCTTGTACTGAAATGACTTTAACTGTCAAAAATACTGTATAATACATAAATCAATAGAAAAATTAATAGCTATTAACAGGGTCCCAGTCTCCTGTAAGTTCCAGGGTGCACGCTGGTTTCTTCCTGAAAGAGGGGGGGGGGGGTTGGGTACAAATATATTGATAAAGCAAAACTGGAAGGTACAAAAATTGAGAAAGTGGAACTAAATCCCTATTCCAATGAAAACTTAATGGTCATTCTTAGTATTTTGAATCACTTACTTAATAGAATATATCCTCCACGCAAAAACTATTACAGAAAATTGCTTTGACCTAATCTTGATAGCCAATGTATGCAGTTATACTGCAGTGTACTACAGTCGTGGCGCCCTCTGGACGTTTATTACACCATAATAGAATAGGCTTTTTGGAATAGGCATTTTAAAACCTAATAATGATTTACCATCAAAATGTAGTAAAAACACAAAAAGCTTGCATATATTAGTTATCGAACACATATTTAATCAATTAACATTTACAAGGAAAAACTTTCCGCGCAAATTGTTTTAGCTAACTTTTGATGTACCATCTGCGCAATTAAAAAACAGTATGGACTGAAACGTGACATTTTATTATAAACACGTAACATGCTGCTCTCCTGAGTACTCTCTTCACAAATATAAGTTGACACAATTTGCCATTATTTCACATCAACAAAACAGTCTAGCTAGCTCGGCTAGGTCAAGTTGGATCCCGTTATGTTTGGGGGCGAACAGCCCAGAGCAATCGGTATTATCATGGCCTTGGCTAGGGAGACTAGCCTAGGCCAAGGCTATGGAATCGCGCACAAGGCTAGGCCTAGGCCGGTGTGGAATCGCGCACATGCCTAGCAGCAGATTCCAGAAAACACTTCTCTGTGTATATCTAATCGGTAATCAAGTAAAACAGAGCACAGAGAGATTAGGCCTACCTGATGGGAAAAATGTCTAAAGAAGAATGATAACCTACCTAAACCGGCTTTGCTAAGCCTAGGCCTTCCTTATTGATGTTTACACCATCTCAATCACCACCACGCGGAAAAGTTGAGCTCTCACATCGCGCAGAAGCAGGACGCCACTGCCGACGGCGACCAGTGATATTTTCATTTCCACTGAGTAGATGCTCTGCCCATCCCACTAGAACAATACAATACTGTAGTACGGAATAGTGTAATTGTAATATAATACTACATTATTACTATTATTTAAAAAAAATATGAATACTACTGAATGATAGTAAAAGCCTCTATAGATCGTGATGGTGATGATGATGATAATAATAATAATTATTATCATACTAATTATATAATAATAATAATAATAATTATTATTATTATTATTATTATTATTATTATTATTATTATTATTATTATCATCATTATTATTATTATTATTATTATTATTATTAGTATTATTACTATTATTATTATATAGTAATAATAATAATCATGCTTTTGAAAATTTAGGTAAAAATTGTAAACGGTAAAGAAGACTGCAAGAAAAATTCGCCCAAATCCCGTAAGCCTATAGGCCTATTTGATCAGCTGTGATAATGTCCAATAAGAAAGTAAACTACGCAAGTGCAACAGCAGTGCCGTATTCAGGGGTATGCTCGAAGTACCTGAGAACCAAGTACCCCCACCCCAACCACTTTAGAGGTTAAAAAAATCAAAAAAGCTGCTGATTGTAACTGAGAGTTACTGATTGGCAATAATTTTACATCAGTTTCGCTGATGAAACAATAAAACACTTTTCTTATTAGAAAACTACTAAAGTAATACTTTCGTATTTGTTAATGTAATAATAGAAACACTCACAGGAGGCTTTTTCCAATATAGGCCTATATTATGATATATACTATATTATGACTATACTATGGCGATTATCTATATTCAAATGCCCATACCAGCTTTATATTTCTGATGAGAAATTTCTCAATACAACTCGACCTACAGTTTTTCTTTAAGATTGTTTTAGGGCCAATATGTTTACTATCTGAAAGTGCCAATTCCGGGAATCTGAAAGTAAGTGTCGTGGGTTTTTTTTTTTTTTTTTTTTTTTTTTTTTGTGGTAGAAAAAAAGATCCTGGGATGCAAGTTTTTGTTTTTAACCCACACCACCCATTCACATGCTACATTTTTACAAAACAATTTCTATCACGGTGTTGAAAGCCAAGACACAAGATAATTTTATTGTTGTCGTATAACATGATACATACAAAATGTTGTTCCAGTTGCATAATAAATACTGTACAATAAACAGTAAGTTTAAAAAGTTAAAAACACTAAATACATACCGTAATCTGAATAAATAACTTTAACTTCTAAATTGAAATTTCACTGTTCCCTGGTCTTCCTTTATAACAATGAATTGGTCATTGGTCATGGTCAAAAATGGGCCTTGGGCCAAAAGGGTTTATTTTTTTGTCTAAAAATGTAGAATTAAATTTATAATCGATTTTTGAGTACGAAGCACCGAGGGCATGGGCGGATGCAGCCTGCCAGAAAAAAAGGGGGGGTGTAATCTGCGAGCGAAGCGAGCAGTCTTAGGCTGGGGGCCAGGGGGCCACCTAGGGCCCCCGGCAGGGTCCAGGGGCAGAGCCCCTGGTGGGGGTCCAAGGGAAATGGGACTGACATTGTCACAACAGATTGCAGTGGCGGACCAAGATGGAGAAGGGCAGCCGGTCGTCCAGGGCCTCCTCAATATTTCAAATTTAAGTCTGGGGAAGTCTGGAGAGTGCCATATCCGGCCATCTAGAGGTGACATAAATTATCTTACCTCAGCCCCAATGAGGTGGGACTGAGATGGTATTGTTCCCATCGTTCCATGCGGTGAATTATATGGCCCATCTCTATTTCGAATTCCTGGATCGATGATCCGCCACTGAAATACACCAAATGGTGAGCCGAAAAGATGAGAAAATTATTTAACATGCCTAAGGTTTTCAGAAATGTTCTCCCACGTTATTTTATTATTGTCTATTTGTTTTATTTATGCTAATATATTTCCCCCTATCAAAAAGTTTGAATACCCGGGTTTAGGGTAATATCGATGATTACTAGTCCCGACTTTTTCTTTCAGAACACCCCTTCCTTCCTAAATCTTGGATAAAGTGTGCGAAGAATGAGTGCTTTAACCGGGGTTTGAAAGTCCAAACGAAGCATTTTTTTCACACTTAGTCACTGACCTACTTTGCTTCAAATTTATATCAGAATGCCCTCTCAAACATCAATTGAAACTGTCACGTAAATTCCAGGGATGCCGAGACTTCCTTAGGGTTGACCCCCACAGGTTCTTTATGCGTTACTCTGGCCAAACACCAATGGATCAATGATTTTTCTCTTTATAGGCCCCCTATAAATAGACCTAGGCCTATATTGAAATGTCCGCTGGGATTTCCAACCAAGCAACAGAACGAGGCACGTTAATAATGTATTGCCGACATGACCTTGAATGTGCAATTGGTGACCACGGTACATCCTTTTAAATGGGACAAATGTTTAATTTATTTTTGTGGGATTTTCCTGATTTTACCTACAGACGCACCTTGATATTTTGTATTTAATAACACATGATCTTGAATATGCATTTAGTGAC